TTGTGTTTTTTTGCAGGATTTTTGTGTAAATTTGATAGACTGCCGTTACGCTGCCCGATTTTCGTAGATTTTCGGATTTGCTTGGAATTGATAGATTAGATTGATGTGCTTATGATTATTGATATGATTGTTATAGATTGCATAATATTGATTATTGAATTGCTTATTGATTGATTATTGATACTGGGAAACACGTATAGCCTGGTTGAACATTGGTTGGAGATTGATATTGACCTGTACAGGATGGTGGGCCGACGGGCTTTCCTTTAAACCATTGATCATTGATATAACGATTGGGAGTCATAAGGAGTTTTATATGCCGACGGGCGGCCGACGGGCAAAAGAGTGACGACTCTTATTGATAGAACCAATGTATGGATATCTACAACAGCAATATGGATTCTACAACAGCACTATTGATCATGACTAGTGTTTGTGCTTGTCGAGTAAGACCATTGTATGGAATTGCATGTTTACTGTATTGATTTATGGATTCATTATTTTATAGATTCCTACTTATCGACTTTGATTGGATTTACTAGATCATACGATTTCATTGATTTCACTGATTGATTGCTGTGCATCGACATTGAGCATTGATATAGAAATGGATGGATATAAATATTACATTGATAGCATGGACATGAATAGTATAGAATCATTGACACTGTTGCCTATAGATTCATTGATTTCTGCTTATAGATTCATTGTTACTACTGCCTATGGATTTATTGATCTTGCATATAGATTCACTGTTGTTATTGTTTATGCACCGTATTGACTGTTGCATGGATTCACTGTTAGAATAGATTGCGATTTATCGTACTGCTTTCCTCGTTTGATTTCATTGAATAGATAGTATTGATTAGACCGCATTGATCTGATTTGATAGCGATTGATTTGACGGATTGATTGAGTTTCTATTGTGTACGGATTTCTTCGAGATTGACATGGATTTATTGAGTTGATTTATCGATTCGCCTGCCGCTGCATTGACTGGTTTTATTGACTATGGATTTCCGCATTGCATAGACTCATTGACCATTGATTGACTTGATTTGATTGACCTGCGTATTGATAGCATCGCCGTGCTTTGATTTCAGTTGTAGGCTTTGGTGACCTGCTGGGCTTTGTAAGCTCATTATATGTGGTTAAAATTTTCAGGTCCGAGCAAGGCAACTGGAATGGAGTTCGATCAGAATGTCAGACGAATCCTTTCACTATTGATATCTGGGGCATCACATGACCTTCAAGTTAGCCACCTTCATCTCCTATAGGACTATCCTAACAAGCATCAATGGCCTTTTATGACCTTTTTATGCTACTTATTCCACCATCTTTTGGTTGTGTTGTATTTACCTTCAAGAGGACCATCTAAGCTATTATGAACAAATACCTCGACCTTCTAGTTCTATCTTGTTCATCACCTTAAGATCTTATCATTTTCACTTTATGGATAGCTATTATGATATATGCCCCTTATGATGTCACCAATATTAGGGTTTTGGCAATGCTTCAACATGTTTTGTATCAATGGATCCTCTAAATATAAGAAAGAGTAGCCCTTTTATTATATTTACTACAAATAAAAGTTATTTAAATTTAGACTAGACAAAGTAATACTTTTATTTTCATAGTTTTCACGTAAAAAATTTGTGCATCCTACTTAATTTACTAAGTTATTTAATTATGTGTGGGATTTATTTGATGTTGAGTCAATTAAAAACTCTATTGGACTTATATCATCTAGTATATAAAATGTAAAAATAGGGGACTTACATACATGACACTTAACATTTTAGGATTTAAAGTTAACATATAAACTTCGTATAGTACTCTATTAGTAGAGTTAACAACTTGCAAGACACTTGCAATACTGGAGGAAGGAATAAGGCAGACTTCCTACACCAGCAAAGCTCCTATTGATGATTTTTAGTTGAATTTGGAGAATGTGGTGGTTTGAGGTCCGAACAAGGCCAATACGGGCAACTGGAAATCAACGACTAAGACTTCGTTTGGTTATCCGATACTTTTGTAAGAGTTAGTTTTAAGAAACATCGGTTCAGAGAAAGTCGTTTTCTAACAAAGAAGCATATATAAAAAGCTTTCTTAAAACATTAGAAAAAAATGGTGTTATTGAGAATGTGGTTTGAGGAAGCAAATAATAAATTTACCGTTTTAAAAAAGAATAAGCACAAAAAACATCCAACCAAACTAAGCCTAAGGAAATCACAATGGCACATTCATGGGACCGATAGTTTGTGAAGGGTAATGAGACTAAGGGCTATCCACAATATGTGAAGAACGATGGATTGGGCGATGCTGTCATGGGATTGTAATTGGAGTGTAATTTTCATGTTATTTTTATATTTTGTAGGTTATACATGCGAATAATAAAATTTAAATATTAATTTATAAGGTCTATCAAAAATATGGGTCTTAAATTTACGAAAGCCAGAACACCAGCGGTGAAGGTGTAAAGAATCTATCTACCTCTTGGTAGCACCTGATTCTCGCTCGATCAATATGAACCTTCAAGTACAGAAGAACACCCTTTACGTAGGTAAGGCCTTCTCTTTTTTGCTTTCTTCTGGTTCTATAGAACTAACTAGGGTTTTGGGTGGCGGTTCTGTGGCGTTATAGGTGGGTTGGCGGAGGAGGTAAATGAGGCGATCCTGCACGCAGCGTTCATTCCCTTCGGTGACATAAAGGACGTGAAGACGCCGCTGGATCAGGCAACTCAGAAGCATCGGTCCTTTGGTTTTGTTACCTTCCTGGAACGTGAGGACGCCGTCGCCGCAATGGACAACATGGATGGGGCCGAGCTTTATGGTCGCGTCCTTACCGTGAACTACGCCCTCCCCGACCGCATCAAGGGAGGAGAGCAAGGGTGGGCCGCCCAACCCAGTAAGTTCACTATCTCCTTTCTTTTCATAGCTAAATCTTGTCGAAATTCTATATATTTGTGTTTTTTCTTCTTCGCTGAAATATTCTAAAGCAACATTCTTTCTTCAAACGTGGAAGACTGTAGTACAAGTATAGAAATTGGCTTGATTAATGAGGGATGGTGCAATTTCTTTGTTTGTTGCTTGCTGAAATATTTATCTATCTGCTTTCATTATGCACATAAAAATTAGGATTTAGGCATATTGTTGAATATAAATTTGTTTGTGTAACATCAACATCTCAAAGACATAAATGTTTAAGAAACAAGAGCAAGAGGAGAGAAAAAGATAATTTAGAGTGACAAGATTTGGGATTTTATTGGATTGCCAGATAATTTAAGATTGGTGCAAATGATTTCAATGCCCCAAACTCATCTTCTAATCCCTATTTATAGGCTGAGGCACAACGCTAACTGAAAGTCTACATTTATGCATTGGGAGAAAGGAATTTAGCCAAAGTTCAAGAGTCCCAACCCTTGATATCTCTTCTATGAGTTTCTTTATTTCTTTATTTATATTTTTTTATAGAAGATTCCAGTTGCTTTGATATGAATGTCTCAAACTCACCTTCTTACCCCTATTTATAGGCTGGAATTGAGGCACAATGCTACTTGAAAGTCTACATTTAAACATTTATGCATGGGGAGAAGGGAACTTAGCCAAAGTTCAAGATCCTTCCAATCCATTTTTGGTATTGCGATCTTTATTAGTGTTGTAAGCCAATGTATGAACAATTCTATTGAATACCACATGAAAGTTGTTAAATAGCTTCGAAGTTACCTCAAAATGGCACCAGGAAAATGCTTGCTTTATAAAAAGTCATCCAACAAAAAATTGAAATTTTCACACATTCTTATTGGGGTGGAAATCCATCAGATTAAAAATCTATATCTAGTTATTGTACTTATATATAGGGAAACTTGGTTGCATGTAGAAGTAGAAAGTAATATGTTGTCTCAAGAAGCAGTGTTAAGGTTGAGCATAGAGCATTGGCGCTTGGTATTTACGAAAGAATGTAGTTAAAAAGATTCTTAGCAGAATTAAACAATCAATATAGGGAAAACATTTTTCTGAAAGCAAATACTGTAAAAAATTGGGTTATTTCTGACTTTCTGTTAGAAATTAGAATTTATAGCATAAACTGAATTGTCATTAAAAGAGCCTCATAGGAAATATCTACAGACGTTTTGTTTTCCATCAGTAATAGTTTTTGGCCGATTACCAACAAATTTTTTGAAGGGAATGCCGACATAATAGCATTCGTTGTAAATGAAGAATTTAGAAAAGAAAAAAAAATGTTGGGTTATATATCTATTAAATGGATGCATCCATTGATATTGAAATGGGCCACCAACTCTTATCTTGTATGATAGACATATTGATAAGTGATTCATTAAGTTAAGAAAATCTAGTGAAATTTTTTTCTCTAATTTGCACAATATTATCAGAATATTCAGCTTACTATTCACCAAAGCCTCCTATTTTAAATATGTGGAGCATAAATCCTTAAAATATGCTCAATTTAATTAATGGATTAGTATTAGTTCTGGTAAATGCAATAGATGTCGAACACTCTATTAAAATACAATCGTGACACTTCATTTCTAATAATCTTTTGGATCTCATATCATCGCATCTATTTAAATGTGAGGTTTATCAATCTAGAATTTTTAGTTGTTGAATCTATTCACATGCTACTCTTCATTGATCTAATGTGAGCGAATAAGTAGCTTTTAATTTTAAGATTTTTCCACCCATTACTTCTTGGAGCTCCAAATATCTTTTCTTGCATTACACTTTTGAGTCCATTCTTGTTTTTCAATATTTTACCTTTTACATCCATCACATTGTTAAATATGTTGCCAATGAAGTTCTTTTCAATATGCATCATATCTAGATAGATTGTCTTTTAGTAGGGTAGATCCAAAAAAATATTTCTACTAGTTTAGTTGTAACTAATATCATAACTCGAAAGTTTATAATCTAATAATATTAGTGTGTAAGTAATTTTTTATATTGTACTTATCATTGTCCATAATTGATCCCTAGTCAACTTTGGTGGTGACTTAAATTCACAACTTTGTTCTTGGAAATTATAACTTTATTTTTTGGAATATATGGCAACTAGGTAAGAATATAAAATGATAATCAAATCATGAAATTTTCCCATAATATTTTAATGTGAATGCTTTGGATAATTCCATGCAATACGAGCAAACTAACTTTTCTATAGTGCTCCACATTGATAACATCTCATAGAACAAAAAATCACAAATGTGCACATAAGTGTTTCTTTCATTTGATTTTGTTTTAGATATCACATGTAAGCAAACATTCTGTCAAAATTTAAACTCATGTATCAATTGTTGTATTTTTTTTTTGTTAAAACTCACAAGAGGGCCTATGTGTTCCATTAAAAAGAAGAGGTACATGCTCGTAAAGGATCAGAAGCTCTCTAAAAGTACAACATTTGAAGTAAAACCTACTGAGCCTGAGATCCTATCTATTACAATAGAAAAACCAAAAAAGAAAGAGTAAGAGACAAAATTACAAACCAACTCCAAGCATCTCAGCAAAGACGGACAGTAGCAACAACATCAGCAGTCACCAACCACACTGAGTAGCACCCACATATAAATGATACAATCAATCAGACATCTAAAGACGCAACCCTAGCTCCAAAAACTGCAACCACAGCAACAACCTGCTAGAGACAAAAGAAAAGAGGCAACACAAGAAGAAAAAGCTAACCCCACCAGACAAAAAACTAACAACACTAGGCCACCATCCCACAACTACGAGGAAGCAAACACCAAACAACCCACAAACATAAACTATTTTTTAGATTTCCGCTTTCTCCGTTTACCAACCCGAATGAAAACATCATGCACAACACGACTCACATTCAGATCAAACAAGTCATCCTATTCATTCACTTCCTTTTCACCAACCTCATAAGAAGGAGATGGTGAGCTTTTGAGCTAGTTAGTTTGCTCCACAATAGTTTCTCCCGATCTAACGTCCAAATGAGCTTTCAAGGCATTAGAAGAAAGTAAAGCAATCAAAACATCAACAAGATGCTCAACCACATCTAGGGGTGTAAGTGAGCCGAGCCAGCTCGTGAGCGGGCTCGAGCTCGACTCGTTAATGAGCTTGTGAGCCAAGCTTATAGAGCCGCGAGCTCGAGCTTGAGCTCAAACTCGAGCTTGATAAGGCTCACGAGCAGAGCCGACTCTAATCACTATTAATATTTTAAATAATTATTATTCTCTTAAATTTATGTATTATAAATTAAAATTAATAATTATAATATTAGTTTGATGTTTTCAAAGCTATAACGGTACAGTTTTTGTTTGAAAAATTTACATGGTTTTTTTAAAAAAATAATAATAATTTATAAAAAGCATTTAAGCATACATGCTCAAGTTTGTAATAAAGGCTGCAGGTTGTAGCTTTTATTAAAAAACATTAAAAAACTGCATTTTAAAGGTATTTGGGCAGTAAAAGCTGCAGACTGTTGAAGGTATTTGGGTAATAAATAGACTTGTAAGTCTGTAATAATGCTGCAGGCTGCAGCTTTTATAAAAAATATTAAAAAATAAAACTTGATTTTGAAGGGATTTGGGTGGTAAAAGCAGAGTTCCGGCGGGAGAGTTTATTTATTTTTTCTTTTTTTGGAAAGCGAGTTATGCATGGCTGTTGGAGCGCAAGCAAAAGCTCGCGAGCCGGCTCGGCTCGTTTGGAGCTCACTTTTCGACTGACGAGCTAAGCTCAATAGAGTCAAAACTTGACTCGGCTCGACTTATTTACACCACTAACCACATCCGACCCCATAGAAGAGGCCGACACAACCAGATCAAACAGGAGTCATAGGAGAAGTCACAGAAGGATCCAAATCACTAGAAACAACGTTTGCATCCCCATATTAACATTACAAAATTCCTTATCTCCCACATTCAACAACTCATTACTAGAACCATAACCAGAACCAACATGGACAGGAATATTAACATCAATCTTGCCCCTAAGAGAATTCATAAAGTCATTATCACCACCATCCACATCAGCAGAAATCACAATTGTCCCAAAATGTTCAGATTCAGGAACACCAGCAATAGGAACCACCAAATCATACCCAACCGCCAACCCCATGTGAGCAACCGATTCAAGTAAAGGTAAAGCAATACAAAGAGCGTTATTATCCACACCAATAGGATTCTCACCCATAGGAACGGGTTCTAATTTATCACCACAATTTATCACCACAATTTTGACCCATCCACACTAGAAGGGATAGGAGGATTAACTAAATGAGGATTCAAAATATGACATTCAATTTTAGAATGATCCAAAACCTTACAATGACCACAGCAAGAAAGAAATTCTTCAAATTCCACCAGCTGAATATAACCCATAGATTCAGAACAAACCCCAACTTGGTTAGCGTATCACTTGGTGACATCAAGATCCACAAGCACATGAGCAACCAAAGGCCTTGTACCATTAGAAGTGACATTATCCGTTCGTAAAGGCCGGCCAATCAAGGAGGCGAGCCCATGCAAAATTCGAGGAGAGAACAAGTGTGGATGCTGACATGGAAATGAAACCCAAATGGGGATGGCAGGAGATTCAATATTAATGTCAAAGTGAGGAGTCCACTTAAATAACTTCATGAAACAATTGCTAACGAAGTAAAACCGATGCGAGAACACACGACAATAATCTAAATCGTTCACAAACGTAATCAAAACGTTCTTAGCATTAAGAAAAGTGACTGAAAATTCTCCCATGAGCTTAAGTTGAAAGAAGAATTTGCGGATAGTATCAATAGGTGGCCGAATGCCAGAAAATTTTTCTGCCAGAGCAAACTCAAACGGAGTAGCCAAAGCCAACATTTCTTCATAAAAAAATCCATAAAGACAGTAAACCCTTGCAAGAAGTGACTTTAAGGGCGGGAAATTC